TTCAAATCTGAAAACGTTGTGAAGCCACGCCCATTTCCTGAAGAATTGCATTATGCCCTAAAATTACGGAAAAGTTTCCACTGCATGTATACTTCGTATTTTGCAGAATTTAGGGAACTTTTAGCATACTAACTATATCCATACTATGACCAATAAGCATACTAGCTTATATACTCAAACCACGTCACAAATAGTATGGTTATTGCGGTTAGTGTGAGTATTCGAACACATCTATTGTGAATCACTAACCACGTTTCCATCCAGTTTTTATGCAAGTAAAGTCAAATCATATTTTTTTTAAATCACTACAGCTGTGAGCCTGTGATGTAATTAGGAAGTTTCGGTAAAATTGTATAAAACCTGACAGATAATTTGTTCGTTCGACATGGTGGGATCTTTTTGTGTCGGTGAAATTAATTATGCTAGAAATGGCGGTGGAAACACCTTTACGCGCAAATATTGATATAATAACCATCATATCGGAGTAAACTTGGAGTCATGCGATGATATGGTGTATGGTCCTCCCACTACGACTCGGGAAACCATGCAGTTTATTAGGCTACAGATGAAATAAGTTCTGATGAACTTCACACGCCTTTCCATGATGATCGATGCTTGACTGCTGTTTGACAAATAAAAAGTATCCATATTAATCTCATCATGTAAACTAGCCTACCCACACTGTATATATCTGCGAGCTGTTGTTGGTTAGAGCGCACATGCCAAAACCAAAGTTGGCACATTTGCTATTTAACGCAACAGTTTTTGTGACAAACTATTGGCAGAGCTGAAAATGTGATGGAAACACATTAAACTTTAGATTTTGATTCAGTAAATGAAAACTTACGCGAAAACTTACTTTTTGTGTGCACTACCTCATCACACGCTGATTTTTATCAGCAACAAGTCCATTTGCTGGAAACACACCACTGGTGCAAAATAATGTGCATCTTTTCTTTATGCAGGTTTTTGAATATTCGCATGAAAATCTGTCGCCAATTAGATGGAAACCTAACTACTGGGAACATTATTTACACCTCACTGTGGGGCTTAAATCAGATGAGCTAGAATGTAGTGAGTGAAATAATACATTTCACACCTGTGGGGATCTATTTTCTCATAACTGGATGGGATGACTAACTTAGAAGGAATGCATTAATGATTAACATTTACATTTACATTTACGTCATTGAGCAGACGCTCTTATCCAGAGCGACTTACAAATAGTGGGATAACCACTTTACAATGTTTTTATTTTTATTTTTTATTTTTATTAAAGCATAAAAGGTTTGTACTGTACTGATATGAATTGTTTCGCATAACAAGCTGTGATTCATGTGAGGAACGTTAGGGGGTAGGATGAGATAAGACTTGTATTTCTTACAGATAAGACTTGTATTTCTTACAGATACGAACACTGCCTCTTTGTTGTCTGTGAACCGTCCTTGAACGACGGTACTTAGAGTACAGTGGAACGGTGTCTATGGGCACTGACTCTACAGGTTGTTATAACAACTTATGCCTGGCAACAGTGTGCAACAGTGGAGCGCCAAGGGACTGGGACCAGCCGGTGCGCCAACGGATTGGCTGAGTAAGTCTAAACCACGCTCAGTCTCTACTCTGATAGGCCCAGCAGGGAGCGGGAACTATCTCCGTCAGAGTATTTTAAGAAGAACTCATAACAATGGCTTAGTTCTCTGTCTGCCCTGCGTGGTATTTCAGTGAACCCGTATACGAACCATCATACTTTTCATACATACATTTTGCATATAATAAATTTAGCTTGGATTGAATATCTCTTGATTATGCTTTCTCTTATTCCAATACCAGATTTGAAATACGCAATTTCTAACACACCTCAGAATGGTGTGTCACCATGTGTCACCATGAAGGACAGTTTCCCTTTCCCAAAACAGTATATGGATGCCACTGCCCACTGAGTTGCCAGTAAAATATAATAACCAAGCATGCAAGATCTGACAAACAGGCTTTCATGATAGAGCGCAAATGCAATTGCCAAGGGGTAATTTTATGGGCAAACAAGGGTATATTTACTCTGATGTATCAATCAACAGGAAGTGTGTTTCCCACTTCCTGGGGACAAGGCTCAGTGGGAAACATAATGTATCTCACTGAGATAGCTTTGTAAAAGAGTAGAAGGCCTGCTCATACAGGCCTCATACAGGCAGATAAATTGCAAACACTGGGGAGGTGAGGTTATTTTCTGTTCGCATTCGACCATTCCAAATTGGAAAACAAAACAAGCACTTGCACTTCGCTCAATATTTTATGTTTAATATTTCTGAGCTATTGTAGAGTATGATGAAATCTTTCATACTCTATAATATCATTATAGTCACATATATTATAGTCGTGCTCTGTATTGAAACTCACTAGAGACCCAATTTAGTGTAAGCTATTTAACAGCTGAAGTATAATCAACAATAATGTCCCTTTTGCCCACCCATACAAGCACAGGGAAGGGAACATTGGATTCATATTCTACAACACTGCTCAAAAATTGTACAATTCACTTTACGGTGACTTCAAAAGCATCACAAAATTAATATCTAGACCTTAAAGTGCTTCTGCAGATCATTTTGAAGTTTGCTTGCACAAGGAGTTGAGTTATCATTATCCATTATTACAACATTTACATTTTAGTCATTTAGCAGACGCTCTTATCCAGAGCGACTTACAGTTAGTGAATACATATTTTTTTATACTGGTCCCCCGTGGGAATCGAACCCACAACCCTGGCGTTGCAAACGCCATGCTCTATCAACTGAGCTACATCGCTGCCGGCCATTCCCTCCCCTACCCTGGACGACGATGGGCCAATTGTGCGCCGCCCATGAGTCTCCCGGTCGCGGCCGGCTGCGACAGAGCCTGGATTCGAACCAGGATCTAGTGGCACAGTTAGCACTGTGATGAAGTGCCTTAGACCACTGCGCCACTCAGGAGTACAACTGTGCCATTAGAGCACTTTGCTCCATAATGAATTGTCTGATACCGATTCTCCCAATAATTACAATCAGAAAGACCCCCGTGGTACAGAAATATACAGTTGATGTCAGAAGTTTACATACACCTTATCCAAATACATTTAAACTCAGTTTTTCACAATTCCTGACATTTAATCCTAGTAAAAATTCCCTGTCTTAGGTCAGTTAGGATCACCACTTTATTTTAAGAATGTGAAATGTCAGAATAATTGTAGAGAGAATTATTTATTTCAGCTTTTATTTCTTTCGTCACACAAATTACTTGTGTCATGCACAAAGTAGATGTCCTAACCGACTAGCCAAAACTATAGTTTGTTAACAAGAAATTTGTGGAGTGGTTGAAAAACTAGTTTTAATGACTCCAACTGAAGTGTATGTAAACTTCCGACTTCAACTGTATTTACGTATGGTTATCTTAGTGTGGAAATCTTTTCAAAATATTAGGTATGTTGAAATTCAATACTCACTGGTAATAAATGCAGCTTCTTACAAAGCAAATTTTACACTGCTTAATTACAAGCATGATCTAAAAAGCAGGAGACCATAATAAATAGGCGACCACACACTCAGATGCGCATGGACTGTGTACCTGTACATATGAATACCTCTTCTTGTGTCGTCATTACAAGTGCTATCAGTCACTCTCTCTGACTCTCAACCATTGTGTTCCTTCAGTCTGTCAGTCTATTTGGTTCCATCAAAACACAGTAGTACCAGTTAACACTAGTCTGGTGATTGAAGTCAGAGGAACTGATGAGAAACTGAGGCTGGAATTCAAATCCACCATAGATAATGTTAACGCAGTGTCTTTGTTTACCAACTAAGCTACTGCCCATGGACCAACCACTTCTTATTCTGTAAACTGGATGCATCTACAACAGTTAAAACCATTCTGTGATTTTATTTGTCCATGGGGAAAAGAGCTATACTGTGTAAATACAGCAACAGAATACTGTATTGCCCATGAGAAGGAATTTGTCTTGCACAATTAAAATGCAGATTCTATCGAATTCAGCCCTGAGTTGTGGATCTATTGTGCAGCATCCTAAACATTGTAATGCTCAAGACATTTAAGGCTCTCTTTCTCGAGGCCCATGGCCTGTGTGATAGAATCTGGGCTGACTACAGCCTGGACCCACATTAAGGACTTCAATCAATACCCTGGACCAGTGGTTTTCAAACCTCTCCTCGGGGACCCCCAGATGCTTCACAATTTTGTTGTAGCCCTGAACTACTGTAACACACCTTATTCACATAGTCAATGGCGTGATGATTAGTTGACAATTTGAATCAGGTGTGCTAGCTGTGGATTAGTTAACATACATGGAACGGCAGCGTCTCCCAGCTAAGATAGATCCATTTCCAGCTCAGCTCTGCCTTTTTTAGTAATGTCTGCATTACTTCACACAACAGTTCTATTTAATCTGTTTCAGCCTCTAGCAGATCTTTGAGGAGGGGACCTGGGCTAGGGGAAATGTTTGAAATAAGTTTGAAACGGGTTTGAAACAGTTGGGCTGCTGTCTGACTTTATGGACTTCCTTACGATTGTAGCTCACTCAAGAGGACCTGGTGAAAGCTTAGCAGACAACACAACCAATCCCATGTGATAAGAGACTCCCCTGCAGACAAAACATTTGAGTGGCCTCCCTGTTGATGACGGAGATACATTGTTTTAGTTTTAAAGTACTTTTCCTACACATTTTGCTATGTGGTGTAGAGAACAGTATGTTGAGACCTGAAATGAGTTCCTGGTTCGGTGGCCCAATGGCGGCTGGGGCCCCTAAGCAACCGCTTACGTCGCTTATGCCTGGAGCCGGCCCTGGTTGTACCACATTAATAAATCAACAAAACAAAACCTTTTCAGTAAAGAACATACAGCAAGAGTATTCACATGGGGGTTAACTTGACTTGTAGAAAAGTTGCATGTTGAGTACAGACCCTGGCATTTACTATAATTTATAATGTATTGTACATAAAAATTGGGGGAGGTTGTGATCAGATGAGTGGTGTAGAGGCGTCACTGTTAAAGGAGTTAGAGGGAAGTGTTGACCTCTGCTGGACACTCTCCTGTGGCTCCTTATTAACAGACCCCACATCTATACTGCCATTGGATGGCCTTGTACGGGAACCATGGGAACTGGCCCTAAGGACAGGTGGGGAGAGGCTGGTCTCAGAGGTGATGACGATGCTGGGAATCTGGCCAATCATTCCTCTCGTTACGATGACTTCTGACGAATCACCTGCCTGTCGAAGTCAAACAAAATGTGAGATGAGAAACAGTGAACATATGATATGCCAAATGATCGATTTTTGCACCCAATTATCTATGCAACATGGCAATTTAAGACAAAGATTGGATTTCTGGTTTAATATTATTTTCCCTAAAAGCCGGTCTTGTATCCGAAGCAAATCTTGAAGATCTGTTTTCCTTTGTCTCCAGCCTGGTCATGTATTTTGGGTATGGGAGAAAATATTTTAGATTTTCTTCCTAATTACTCAGAGATCAATAGGGCCACCATATTTTATGACAAACAACTTATATACAGTATGTCCTCTACCATTAGCAACTGTAATTTCATTTATAGGGTAAATTAGTTGAATTTAAAATCACAGAGAACAGAACTACCGCAACGTTACTTTTGTGCCTGAAGGCGGTGCGGGAGTTAAAGGCGCTGCATGGCCGTGCAGCATTTACGGTGATACAGCCTCTGCAGAAGTCTGGGCATTCATACTTATTGCGGTTCGTGGAGCAGCGCAGAGCTGTCAAGTAGAGCTGTTGTCAAGGAAGTGAGTTCGTGTTTATATAGTACCTCCCACCCCCACCTACCGTCAACCAATCATGTCAATGCGGAGCAATACGGAGCCCTCCACATTGTTACAACATTTGTGAGGCGCACAGCGATGCGGTACCGAGTTCAATTTGGCCTCTGCATGCCTACGGAGGCTCCGCAATTGCGTCACACCCTCCATAAGGAGCCTCCGATCACATTTTCGGATCAAGCATAAATTGGCTTTAACACAGTTTTGGGATGGAAGTAACAGCTGGCAAGAAGCGCACAATATCTGTCTTATCGCCATGTTTCTGGTATGTAATGCTCATTACTTTCAAGAAATGTACTAATAGCCATAATTTCATGTTTGTGTTGATTTGAATAATTAATGCTATAGGTTAGAAATTTATGAAAATGAACCATGCGTCAACATCGCCTTACAATATTAATTGGACTAAAATGGATCACATCATCTCACTTCAATGGGAATGTAGTAAGATATGGTTTTTCACCATTTTCAATGACTATTCATGCATAGCACTACTAATCAGGTGCCCTCCAGCTGTCCTTGTCATGCTCCTCGTGTCTTGATAGAATACATGTTTTTATACTCTTCACAAACGGCAAACTCATCATGCTTATCACATTTCTATGGCTTGACAAAAGGTAATTGACCCTGTTGGGATCTATTTTCTTGTAATTAGATGTGATGCCTAGCTTAAAAAGAATACATTAATGATTAAACATAATAGGTTTGTGCTGTACTGATATAGATTGTTTAACATAACAAGCTGTGACTAATGTGAGGAACCGTTAGGGGGGAGGCTGAGATAGATTTGTGACACACACACACACACTGCCTCTTTGTTAAACCGCTCAAGGACATGTGTACTGCAACAATGAAGAAGAGGAAACTATGTCTGAGGGTGCTGACTCTCGAGACAAGTTGCAAAAAACAACTAATGCCCGGCAACAGTGAAGCACCAAGGGGCTGGGACCAGCCTGTGTGCCAACGATATGCTGAGTAAGTTTAAACCACGCTCAGCCTCTACTCTGACAGGCCCGCTTTGAACGGGAACTATCTCTGTCAGAGTATTAAAATAATAACTTTGGGTTGGGACAGTTAGTTCTCTGTTTTGCCCTGTGAGGTGTTACAGTGAACCCGTATATACGAAGATTGCATTTACCATTTATTCGCTTGACTAATTATATTAATAAAAAAGCTGAGAATATATATTCAGTGACTTAGTGTTAAATTCTGTTCTGATACCAGATTCGAATGACGCAACTTAACAACCCCCAGAATCATAATGATATATATTTTTAACCACTAACCTGTCCATAAAAGCTTATGTGAGAAGCTGATCGATCAAGTCAATTGATTAAGGCATAATTCTAATGATGCCATATATAATATTCAAACATTCAGTCACTTGTTGATATTTTGCTAACATTATGAAAGCAATATGAACTATGACAATGGCCTGTGCTTAAATATTATTTTATTCCAGGTCATTAGTTAACACTGTGTTACTTACGGCCCACCTGTATCTCCTGTTACTTTTCCCAGGCTAACACCCAAGACTAGCTATCATGATACTTGAAACCTATGCTGTCATTTAGTTTTGGAACCTTAAACAACTAAACAACTCTACAACTGAAAAACCCTTCCGGGTCCCCATTTTTTGGGGCCGATAACTCTGCGATACATGGGTGGACTGGGCAGTTTTTTTTGCAGGGACCTCGTTCTCCGCAATAGGAACGTGCTGACTTCACTATGTAATTCTAACTTCTATGTTATCGGAGAAAAGTGTTACTTTCGCCCGTGTTACTTTCATCCAGACTCTCCTCTACCTACAATCCGTATGACATGTAACAATGATCTGGTTACTTAAAGGGATACTTCGGGACTTTGGAAATTAAGCCCTTTACTTCCCCAGAGTCAAATGAACTCATGGATACTATTTTATGTCTCTGCATCCAGTATGAAGGAAGTTAGAGGTCGTTTCATGAGCAAATGCTAACTAGCGTTAGCAATTGCACTAACACTAGTTAGCAACTTCCTTAACTGCACGCAGAGACATACAAATGGTATCCACAAGTTCATCTGACTCTGGGGAAGTAGATAAATGGCTTCATTGACAAAATCCCGATGTATCCCTTTAAGACAGAAGGTTACTTAATACAGAAACAACAGTAGGGAGGTTTGTCGGGGAGGATGGGTGGGCACATAACGCAAACTTCTAGCAACCCAAAGGTTGCATGTTCGAATTGCATCAGGGACAACTTTAGTATCTTAGCTAATTATCAACTTTAGCTAACCACAACCATAGCTATTTGCAAATACTTAGCATGTTAGCTAACCCTTACCCCTAACCTAGTTAACGTTAGCCACCTAGCTAACATTAGCCACAAATGCTAACGCAAGAAGACATATGATACTGTATGACCGCTAAGACGTATGATACTGTAAGACTGCTAAAACGTATGATACTGTAAGACTGCTATTCCGCCACCGGACCATTCGTAACATATCATACGAATTGGAGGACGTACTGTAACATATCATAAGACATGAAGGGACACAAAAAACATAATATAATGAGAATGGGTGTGAGAAAGCGTTGTTGTCTCTGCAGAGTGAAAGTCTATCTCACGTCATTATAATCTGCCACTGCCGTTCCTACTCTGACATTATCATCACTGACTACAAATTAAAGAGCAAGTGGCAATATTTCTCCCCCTGTAAGCCTGCCACCAGGCATGTCACAGAACAGTTAATTCTGTCTTTCATTGATAAGACTAGTTAGTCTGCTGTGACATTTATTGAGATTAAACTGCAGTGATTTAATAAGGCCACTTGTTCCGTGCCATCCATATGCCTGCTGTCTGCTCATGGCCAAACCCTGCCACACTGCACAGGAATGCACTAGCATCCGTCAACACTAAACACACTGAAATCATCTTTGGCTAAGGAGAGACTATGGGAGCCCATTACCTAGCTGGGCTAAAGAGGGTAAAAAACAGGGGAAGACGTGTAATGTTATATTGCAGACTCAGCCAAGGTTTAATAGGGCACCAGTGCTGCTTTGTTGTCTATTGGAGGTAGGTAATGGCCACACTGGTCGATACAAAACAAGTGGAATTGACTGACACTTTTGGCTCATTATGGGTACTTACAGCTAGAGGCAAGCTGCAGTCTCTGTGACCTATGCCTGTCATGGAAATGTCATAAGAGCTCTAGAAGATACACAATTCAGGTCTTAGAGGTTGGTTCCTGCTATTATATTGAGTGATATATAGTAATTATGCTTTGAGTCACTTCAATGCTACACTCAATTAAATACCAGTCACATGTAAGTAAAGAGTTTAACACATAATTTAGCCTTAATAAAATATTTGATCTTGAATGGGCGGATAGCGACCACAACAAATCAGGCATGAAGTCCGGGTGACACACAGTATTAAGCATCTCCAAACATCTATCAAGTCACACCACAGATCACTTGTTACCAAGGCCCAAAGCTTTTAGTCCATCTAAAACACTCGGGTTTCACTCAACCATTAACTCAAAAGAGGCAAAGAGGATTTTCTAATTCAACCTGAAAGAGCGAATGCCCCTAAAAACCAACTAATCCCTTTGAAAACGGCCTATGTGGCATCAATAGGAGTCAGAAACATTTATTCTAGTATAAATATTGACTACAAAGTGTACGGTAAATAGGATAATTTTGGTCATAAAGTCAGTCTCGTCTAAAACAGAGTTTGGAACGAGTAAATTAAGGTTGGGTTTGGATTACAATTATGTCAACAAATCATGCCCCCTTTTGCCAAGCTCCATGTGCAAATTGTCACTTCGCCCACTTCACTACCCTTCATTGAATTGGGCTCCGTTGATTCATCGCCCCCAACGTATTCAAAGGATCACGGCCGTTTTAGACTGAAAAGCCCTATACGGAATGACCATGCAATGCAGGATTTTGATAATCATTATCACTATCATCGCTAGCATAGCTGAAGTTAGCATAGCATAGTTAGCCTACCTCAATACAACTCAGATTTTACTTGGAAACATGATAACATTTCAAAAGAATACATTTTGTCATGATTGTGATGTCGCCAAATTGACTTTAGATGCAGTATAACTTTAGCCAGCTAACTAAGATTGAGGGGACCACTGTATTTTAGCTAGCTAACATTAGTATTGCTAGTAACTGTAATGGCAAAGTTGTTTCCTACTAATTATTTGCCTACTTTAGCAATTTCATCGTATTTCCATGCCACTCTAAGTTAGTGTAATTTAGACGAAGCAGTCACATTAGCCTCCGAGGTGCAACCCATGTCTATGGCACAAATAAATATTGGATGCATGTTGGCACTAGCTAACTCATGTCTGACTACAACACTTTACTAACTAGCAACAACAAACTCAAACCAACCCAGGGCCATAGCAAAATATGTCACAGTTGCATAGTGTAACGGCTTCACTGGCTTGAATCTAATCCAACGAGCCAGTCAGTCTACATCTGTAAAGCATTAAATTAGCTTCCAATCAAGATTACGTTATTTCTCGAGCTATCTTGTAATTGAGGGAGGATGACAATTGTTGACCCTGTTTATCTGTTAGACAAAGTGTACAGTTGGGTGCCAGACTGATCCCCTGGTCATGAACAGATGCTACCAGAAGGAGACCTACCAGAAGGAGTAAGGTGGGTATCATAACATGTCCATCAATGTGATTGCAATGGTTTAGCGACCTCCAAAAATCATTTCATTCACTGTTCACTTGCTATTTTCACAACTTGTCAGACAAGACCTTGTGACACCTCCTCCATTGTTATCAGAGTCTCCCTCGACTCCTATGAAAAGGACATGCCACTATGAGGCCTCTGATAGTGACCCCAGTTACTGCCCTGATGACACAGACAGCTTCATCAACCATGACAGGTAATGTGTGTTATGTGAAATGTAAAAAGTTGTATTAAAAAATACCCGGCTTGATAAACTAGTAGGCTAATTCCCCAGCTAAGCAGATACAAACTAGTAGAATACTTTTGGTTGTGAAGTGCATTTGCAAAAAGCTTTGTCCTTTCATTAGAACAAAATGCAATTTACCACTTGGCTGTCTATTGTATCACCCTGTCACAGGCCCTCCCATTCAGTACCACCTTATAAGATTGCCTTCTGTAGTTGTTAGGGAGCTGTCCAGTTTGCAGCCGAACATGGAGCATAGAGAAGACCAGCAAGGGGGCCCACATCAGCATCATGCAGACATGCCCTCGCTGTGAGCATTCCTATGAATGGAACTGTAGCCACATGTTGGCAAGTATCCAGCCAGCAACCTTCACCTTTCAGCAGCAACAGCTTTCACAGGGTCATCATTTGTACAAATACAGAAGGTAACCCACTTCATTACTTTGATACATTTGATAACCCAATTGTGAAACATAATTTATGTAAACAGACATTATTTGTTGCTTATTTTTTACTTCTTATATGCATATAAATGTCCAGGGCATAACCTAGTCTGATGGAACCAGCCTGATCGTCTGAAGTGAAATAGAAAGGTAAACGCAGCGATCAGGTTGGTTCCACCAGGTTATTCATAACCACCATTGATTATGTGATCAGTGCTCTCTCTCTCTGTGTGTGTGTGTGTGTGTGTGTGTGTGTGTGTGTGTGTGTGTGTGTGTGTGTGTGTGTGTCACCTATCCCTAACTGCCATTGGTAATAGGACAGTGACTGTGTATATGTGTTCACAGATGCATGAGATGCAGCGAGACCTGGCACTGAACACATCCACTCAACACATCCACAATGGGGTGATTACTAATAATACAGCACAAATGTCCAGTAATAGCAACTCCCTTTTTTGTGTGTCACTGATGAACACAGCCTCAACTCTGCCTATTTCTACAGATGGACTGGAGATGCTTTTGCCAGACGGCAGCCCCCTTGATGGGGAGACCATAATTGGATAAGTTTTATCAGTTTTTACAATATGTTTGTGTGTCAGATATCACCTATCCCTAACTGCCATTGGTAATAGAACAGGTGACTGTGTATTTGTCAGTGGAGGCTGGTGACATGAACAATTTAGGAGGATGGGAGACCCACGGGATAGGCGCGGACCGCACGGAGACGTCAAAGTGTGTTTAAAAAATCGTGAAAGACTAATTATTTTAACCTAAAGCATTTAATAAAGACATTTATAGTACAATCTTATGGGGAATGGGAATGAGAGGGCTACTTACACAGTGTTGGGAAGGGATCACAGCAGTGATTGAATGAGGATATGAGGCATGAGGTGAGGTGTTCAGAGGCTTGATTTCAGTGCAGGACAGGGTTTGAAGTGACCAAAAGTATGTGGAAACCTGGTCGTCGAACATCTCATTCCAAAATCATGGGCATTAATATGGAGTTGGTCCCCCCTTTGCTGCTATAACAGCCTCCACTCTTCTGGGAAGGCTTTCCACTAGATGTTGGAACATTGCTGCGGGGACTTGCTTCTATTGAGCCACGAGCATTAGTGAGGTCGGGCACTTATGTTGGGCGATTAGGCCTGGCACGCAGTCGGCGTTCCAATTCATCCCAAAGCTGTCTGATGGGGTTGAGGTCAGGGCTTTGTGCAGGCCAGTCAAGTTCTTCCACACCGATCTCGACAAACCGTCTAGAATGTCATTGTATGCTGTAGCTCTAGCCCGAACCATGAAAAACAGCCCCAGACCATTATTCCTCCTCTACCAAACTTTACAGTTGGCACTATGCATTCGAGCGCAGGTAGCGTTCTCCTGGCATCCGCCAAACCCAGATTAGTCCGTCAGACTGCCAGATGGTGAAGCGTGATTCATCACTCCAGAGAACGCATTTTCCACTGCTCCAGAGTCCAATGGCAGCGAGCTTTACACCATTCCAGCCGATGCTTGGCATTGCGTATAGTGATCTTAGGCTTGTGTGCGGCTGCTCGGCCATGGAAACCCATTTCATGAAGCTCCCGACGAACAGTTCTTGTGCTGACGTTGCTTCCAGAGGCCATTTGAAACTCTGTAATGAGTGTTACTTATGCGGCCTACCACTTGCCGGCTGAGCCGTTGTTGCTCCTAGACGTTTCCACTTCACCATAACAGCACTTACAGTTGACCGGGGAAGCTCTAGCAGGGCAGAAATTTTACGAACTGACTTGATGGAATCCTATGACGGTGCCACGTTGAAAGTCACTGAGGCCATTCTACTACCAATGTTTGTCTATGGAGATTGCATGGCGGTGTGCTCCATTTTATACACTTGTCAGCAACGGGTGTGGCCTAAATAGCTGAATCCCCTAATCTCCACATGCTTTTGTATATATAGTGATAGGCTACAAAAGCTATAGGTCATTTATCTTAATAATAGCTTATTCGGGGACTTGCTCTTGGCAGGCTTGCTCTTGCCAATTGCTGAAAGTAAAACAGGCCTACAGCAGCATAGAAAATGCATGTCGGGGGAAAGTTGAGGAGAGGAAGTGCATTGTTGTGATCACTGTTTCACTGATGCATTGTATATAGTTGCACAGGACATACAGAGATGAGCACAGTGAAAAAGAAGACCCAATGGAATTGACAAGCATAGGAAAAATGGAAATCACTTGCAAACCACTTAAGCAATGAGGCAATGATATGCTGTAAAAGATGCTCAGGCTAAATGGTGTTTCTTGTTTTTGAATTGCTACATTTATATAAGAGTTACTATATTAGTTTTCATTAGGCCTAGATGTACATTTAAGTCTACCCTTTAGCTACAGCTCAGCATTCAACACCATAGTGCCCTCAAAGCTCATCACTAAGCTAAGGATCCTGGGACTAAACACCTCCCTCTGCAACTGGATCCTGGACTTCCTGACGGGCCGCCCCCAGGTGGTAAGGGTAGGTAACAACACATCTGCCACACTGATCCTCAACACGGGGGCCCCTCAGGGGTGCGTGCTCAGTCCCCTCCTGTACTCCCTGTTCACCCATGACTGCATGGCCAGGCATGACTCCAACACCATCATTAAGTTTTCCGACGACACAACAGTGGTAGGCCTGATCACCGACAACGATGAGACAGCCTATAGGGAGGAGGTCAGAGACCTGGCCGTGTGGTGCCATGATAACAACCTCTCCCTCAACGTGACCAAGACAAAGGAGATGATTGTGGACTAAAGGAAAAAAAAAGAGGACTAAGCACGCCCCCATTCTCATCGACGGGTCTGTAGTGGAACGGATTGAGAGCTTCAAGTTCCTTGGTGTCCACATCACCAACAAACTATCATGGTCCAAACACGACAAGACAGTCGTGAAGAGTGCACGACAAAGCCTATTCCCCTTCAGTAGACAGAAAAAATTTCTACAGCTGCACCATCAAGAGCATCCTGACTGGTTGCATCACCGCCTGGTATGGCAACTGCTCGGCCTCCGACCGCAAGGCACTACAGAGGGTAGTGCGTACGGCCCAGTACATCACTGGAGCCAAGCTTCCTGCCATCCAGGACCTCTATACCAGGCGGTGTCAGAGGAAGGCCCTCAAAATTGTCAAAGACTCCAGCCACCCTAGTCATAGACTGTTCTCTCTGCTACCGCACGGCAAGCGGTACCGGAGTGCCAAGTCTAGGTCCAAAATACTTCTACAGCTTCTACCCCCAAGCCATAAGACTCCTGAACAGCTAATCATGGCTACGCGGACTATTTGCACTGCCCCCCCACCCCCACCCCATCTTTTTATGCTGCTGCTACTCTTTAATTATTTAAGCATAGTCACTTTAACTCTACCCACATGTACATATTACCTCAACTACCTCAACTAGCCGGTGCCCCCGCACATTGACTCTGTACCGGTACCCCCCTGTACGTGGTCATCTGTAGCTCAATTGGTAGAGCATGGCGCTTGTAACGCCAGGGTAGTGGGTTCGATCCCCGGGACCACCCATACGTAAAAATGTATGCACACATGACTATAAGTCGCTTTGGATAAAAGCATCTGCTAAATGGCATATTATTTATTATATTATATATAGCCTCCCTACTGTTATTTTATTTTACTTCTGCTCTTTTTTTCTCAACACTTTTTTGTTGTTGTTTTATTTTACTTTTTAATAAAAAATAAATGCATTGTTGGTTAAGGGCTGTAAGTATGCATTTCAATGTAATGTCTACACCTGTTGTATTCGGCGCATGTGGCCAATAAAATTTGATTTGATTTGATTTGCAGTTGTCACTATGACAATGAACACAAACTGAAAGCACTGAATGGTCACTCTGAACCAGTATCTGTGTGTTACATGCTGACTAGACAGGGCACGCGCGTGCGCCATCGCACGCATGTTGATTTTGTCCATCCACACCAGACACGATCAGAACACGCAGGTTGAAATATCAAAACCAACTCTGAACCAACTATATTAAGCTAGCTAGCTTGCTATTGCTAGCTAATTTGTCATGTTTATAAACATTGGGTTGTTCTTTTACCTGAAATGCACAAGGTCCTTTTTTTTGTATCTTTGTAGAATTTTGACCTATTGAGTCAATACATAATCGTGTGTTCTCTACTCCAACAATTAATCCACAGATAAAGGGGAAACCTAGTTCGTTTCTAGTAATGTCTTCTTCTTCTTCTGTGCACTTATATGGCGGTTGGTAACCAACTTTAAGGTGCATTACCACCACCAACTGGACTGGAGTGTGGAACTCAGTTCATATTTCAATCATCTACGTGGGTATATGCTCCTAAAAAGCAATGAGGAGATGGCAGAGGCGGGACTTGCAGCGCGTCAAGCGTCTAAAATAGAACCAAGTTCTATTTTAGTGCCTGGCTATGCAGACGCCCGCAAGCAGTTTGGATGAAATGATTGAATAACATGTATGAGTACATTTATTTTGCAACGCTCGCGACGCAATGCGGGCGGAGTGGTCAGCATGTTAGAGACCTCATGAATGGTCTTGTGGTACGACCTTATTAATAGGCAGCGTGCAGTAGGATGCATTGATCAGTTGATTGACAGGTGCAGGACTCTAGAACGATAAACTTTCCTCTAGTGTGGATGCTCACCAATGTTTTATAGTTATATAGCCTATAGTTTATCATTATAGTTATTGTTACAGTTATTGGCTTGGTGGATGGCCCGGGCCTTAAATAACTCTACCACAACACAACTAAAATTATTATCATAACAGAACTAGCCTACTAGTAGGTCTGTCTAGCTAACAATAGTGAACTTGAATTAAATAAATATAAAATTACACTTATACACTTCCACTTGTTTACTTCACTTTTATACTCTATAAACTGACTCTTTCAAATAATTTAATCTGGCAAGTTTGCCACCAGCACGCTGCAGTAGGGAAGTAAAGTGGAAGTCGATTCCATAATTTCCATTGTTTGGCCGTGCACATAGCACAGAACTTTTTGAGGATCTGAGGGCCCATGCTGAATCTTTTCAGCCTCCTAAGGTGGAAGGGACATTGTTGTGCCCTCTTCACGACTGTGTTGATATGTGTAGACAATGATAGCTCCTTAGTGATGTGGACACCGAGGAACTTGAAGCTCTCGATCTGTTCCACAACAGCTCCGTCGATGTGGATGGGGGTGTGCTCAGCCCTCCATTTCCTGTAGTCCACGATCAGCTCCTTTGCCTTGCTGACGGTGAAGAGGTTGTTGTCCTGGTACCACACTGCCAGGTCTCTGACCTCCTCCCTGTAGGCTGTCTCATCGTCGTCGGTGATCAGGCCTACCACCGTCGTGTCGTGTGCAAACTTAATGATGGTGTTGGAGTCGTGTGCGGCCACGCAGTTGTGGGTAAACCGGGAGTACAGGAGGGGCCTAAGCACGCACCCCTGAGGGGTCCCCGTGTTGAGGGTCAGCATGGTGGATGTGTTGTTGTCTACCATCACCACCTGGGGGCGGCCCAACAGGAATTCCAGGATCCAGTTGCAGAGGGAGGTGTTTAATCCCAGGGTCCTTAGTTTACTGATGAGCTTGGGGGGCACAATGGTGTTGAACGCTGAGCTGTAGTCAATGAACAGCATTCTCACATAGGTGTTTGTCCAGGTGGGAAAGGGCAGTGTGGAGTGCAATAGAGATCGTGTCGTCTGTGGATCTGTTGGGGAGGTATGCGAATTGGAGTGGGTACAGGGTGTCTGGGATTATGGTGTTGATGTGAGACATGACCAGCCTTTCAAAGGATTTCATGGCTACAGATGTGAGTGCTACGGGGTGATAGTCATTTAGACAGGTTACCTTGGTATTTTTGGGCACAGGGACTATGGTGGTCTGCTTGAAACATGTAGGTATTACAGACTGGGTCAGGGAGATATTGAAAATGTCAGTGAAGACACTGGTCAGCGAATGCTCTGAGTACGTGTCCTGGTAATCCGTCTGGCTCTGCGGTCTTGTGAATGTTAACCTGTTTAACCTTTTACTGCAGTGGGCTTAATCAGGGTCACCCAGAGTGTTTCTTGGTAGCCTTAAACAAATCTACTTTCAAACAAAAAGAAAACACCTCAGACACATGGTTATGGGCTTTTAAAAAATGAAGACACCCGTACCATGTCAGATATAGAGTTGAAATGTATTACATTTTGAGTTTGCATCCCAATATTACACTTTATATACACTACCAGTCAAAAGTTTGGACAAACCTACTCATTCAAGGTTTTTCTTTATTTGTACTATTTTTTTACATTGTAGAATAATAATGAAGACATCAAAACTATGAAATAACACATATGGAATCATGTAGTAACCAAAATATATTTGAGATTCTTCAAAAAGCCACCCTTTGCCTTGATGACAGCTTTGCACACTCTTGGCATTCTCTCAACCAGCTTCATGAGGTAGTCACCTGGAATGCATTTCAATTAACAGGCGTGCGTTCTTGAAAGTTAATTTGTGAAATGTCTTTCCTTCTTAATGAGGGGGGGGGGGGGTTATTCAGAAGACAGCCCTATTTGGTAAAAGACCAAGTCCATATTATACAGAAGACAGCCCTATTTGGTAAAAGACCAAGTCCATATTATGGCAAGAACAGCTCAAATAAGCAAAGAGAAACGACGGTCCATCATTACTTTAAGACATGAAGGTCAGTCAATATGGAACATTTCAAGAACTTTGAACGCAAAAAAACATCAAGCGCTAGGATGAAATTGGCTCTCATGAGGACCGCCACAGGAATGGAAGACCCAGAGTTACCTCTGCTGCAGAGGATAAGTTCATTAGAGTTACCAGCCCCAGAAATTGCAGCCCAAATAAATGCTTCACAGAGTTCAAGTCACAAACACATCTCAACATCAACTGTTCAGAGGGGACTGTGTGAATCAGGCCTTCATGGTCGAATTGGTGCAAAGAAACCACTACTAAAGAACACCAATAAGTAGAAGAGTCCTGCTTGGGCCAAGAAACACGAGCAATGGACATTAGACCGGTGGAAATGTGTAATTTGGTCTGGAGTCCAAATTTGAGATTTTTGGTTCCAACCGCTGTGTCTTTGTGAGACGCGATGTGGGTGAACGGATGATCTCTGCATGTGTAGTTCCCACCGTAAAGCATGGAGGAAGAGGCGTTATGGTGTGGGGGTGCTTTGCTGGTGACACTGTCTGTGAATATTTAGAATTCAAGGCACACTTAACCAGCATGGCTACCACAGCATTCTGCAGCGATACGCCATCCCATCTGGTTTGGGCTTAGTGGGACTATAATTTGTTTTTAAAACAGGACAATGACCCAACACAACTCCAGGCTGTGTAAGGGCTATTTTACCAAGAAGGAGAGTGACGGAGTGCTGCATCAGATGACCTGGCCTCCACAATCCCCCGACCTCAACCCAATTGAGATGGTTTGGGATGAGTCGGACGGCAGAGTGAAAGAAAAGCAGCCAACAAGTGCTCAGCATATGTGGGAACTCTTTCAAGACTGTTGGAAAAGCATTCCAGGTGAAGCTGGTTGAGAGAATGCCAAGAGTGTGCAAAGCTGTCATCAAGGGAAAGGGTGGCTATTTGAAGAATCACAAATATAAAATATATTTGGTTACTTTATAAAAAACTTTTTTGGTTACCACATGATTCCATTCGTGTCATTTCATAGTTCTGATGTCTTTACTATTATTCTACAATGCAGAAAATAGTAAAAATAAAGAACAACCCTTGAATTTGTAGGTGTGTCCAAACTTTTGACTGGTAATGTTGTACATCACATAAGACTGAAATGTAACAAAACCGTTTGACATAGAAACACCGGCTTTTCGGCAGCTTTTTTGAGGTTTATTAATTATGAAATTATGAAAAATATTATTAATGTTTCACCCATGAGGCCACTAGGTCATTTGACTGCAGAAAAGGGCTACAGGTCTTACTCACATCGGCTACGGAGACCGTGATCACACAGTCATCCGGAACAGCTGGTGCTCTCATGCATAGTTCAGATCGAGCATAAACCAGCATTGGCCGACATCCGCATAGCAGATGTTTTGATGGTATTTTATGTGTAACTGCGGTATGAGCTGACAAATCGATGAGCGGTTGCTCTTGTGTGTCACCAACCACTCTCTGCCTTATTATCCCTACCGCATTAGAAGTTCAAATCGGAGATAGAAAGTGTAGTCTTTATCGATGATAGAGATAATGACAGACTAATGCATGTTGTCATGTGAATTTGGATGGATTTGGATTATAGCCTATGAGTCTAATCGAAGTGTAGACAATAGAACATCAATTATTCGAGTGTTTGAACTTGTAACGTGGATGCATGTGATTTTTCAGATATAAAGTTGGGTGTGGTTTCGTTACCTTATCATGGACACTGCATCCAACGGCAGTGTCTGCGATAAGGTAACGCAAGGAGCCACTTGTGGATTTGAAAGCTCTTACACGGTTTCACCTCCAACACCGCCACAACAACTGCTATGCGGATGTCAGTTAGTGTGGCTCTGATAGAACCTAGCCCTAAACGCTTTGGGGGGTCAAACCTCTGAATACTGTAATACTGTGGCTCCAACCCAGATGAAAGCCAGCTAAAATTGATTAGACTTTTCAAAGTGAGTGAACAAGGGCAAATGCACCAAAGGGGGACAGTTAATTAACAGTGAGATCGAATCTCTATCAATAATTGTATCATAATTTTATAACAATATGTTGTAAAGACATTTAAGAAGCATTTAAAGACAACTTTTCTTAGTCATGAACCCTGATAACACACATCATCTATCTCTATATACCCGCTTTACAGAAATGTCTGCTCTATGCCTATAAATTAAAAAAATGGATTCTAATCCTTCGATACAGATTGCCTCTACAAAGACTGTGCCCCATGGAGGTACCCTATTCCACAGTTATTAAAACCCTGCCTTAGCAGTTGCCATCACATTTTAAATGATAACACTGAAAGACACCATAAAGATGAACACACCCTTCAAACATGTCATAATTCGATTAGATATCTATGGTACTGCAAAGCCCTCCTAGAGCTTCTTCCCTGGAGTGATTTTCCGTTGCACCATTGTACCATCCTGTCTGTAACGAGGAGCCATGCGATTGGCTCACACAAGTCCAGGGGTGCATTACAAGCCAAAATATGGTTTAATTAACCCCCTAGAGTCTATTGGCGCACCGGTGTGTCAATCTAAGTAACATAATATAAAATCCCATCAAAATGTGTCAGTTTAAGCTAGAGATCTGTTTTTTTGCATGGCCTGCGTCTCAATCCACCGCATCTGCCTATGTCGCCCTTCCGCATCTGCGGTGGAAAGTGGCAGAGCTACAGCGCTGTTTGTCAGGCCAGAAGACATCCCAAAAATCGGTCTTCTCACGAAAACGTCTGGAGCATCTGAGCGGTTTGGCCTACTAATATGACCACTCTATTGAAAGGGGAGACTCTCATAAACATAGTGGTGTTCTTCGCTTTGTTCTACGATCCCCACAAGCCCCACGGGACTGAAGTTGGTAACGCTGATGTGCTAACTTTTGTCTGTAGCATCCAAACCGTTTGGGCTACAAACTAAAAGTAACCCATACAAATGAATGGAAGTATGGAGGTAGTTTTGTGCTTACAAAAATAAGGGGTTAAATATGTGTCAAAAAAAGAAAATATGGGCCTCCTGAGTGGCGCAGCACTCTAAGGCACTGCATTGCAGTGCTTGAGGCGTCACTACTAACTCGGGTTCGATCCCAGGCTGTATCACAACCGGCCGTGATCGGGAGTCCCATAGGGCGGTGCACAATTGGCCCAACGTCGTCCGGGTTAGGGGAGGGTTTGGCCAGGGAGGCTTTACTTGGCTCACCGCGCTCTAGCGACTCCTTGTGGCAGGCCGGGTGCCTCCAGGCTGACCTCGGTCGTCAGTTGAAAGGTGTTCCCTCCGACACATTGGTGCGGGCGGGTGTAAAGAAGCACGGTTTGGCAAGTCATGTTTCGGAGGACGCATGACTCGACCTTCGCCAACGGCTTAGACTTTTGGCAGATTACACAAAAATAGTAATTTGTACTTAGTTCTTGCCTAATTCCCATACAAGTCTTATTGCATTACAGTAAAGACAGATTGCTGCAGCTGTTTTCAAGTGTGTTACTGTTTGATTAGGTGCTTCTCAGGTAGATGCACTGAATAATAGGTAACATTGGTGAGATTAACATGTATTGATGTTGGGAGAATAGCACATGTGATAGAATTAAAAGTGCCTTAATAATAATGAAATAATACAGAATCATAATGTATACCAGTAAGTAATATGCTATTAATTTATCTAAATGTTGATAATACGATCTGTGTGCTCTATTGATGTCTGATCTGAGTTTGATTGGTTATACCTAGGAATTCCTATAGGGGCGCACGGGGCTTCCCTGCTCACTCATTCCAAGTGACTTGAAGCCGAAGCTACATCTCTGTGTGATTTATTTATATATTTCAGGGTTATAACACACATAACTGCAAGTAAGGTGAGATTTTTTTTTAAAATCCTGATGTTGACTCTTACTGACCTCTACTGTGTTAGACATGTGTTAGACAACCATTCACACTGTTCTGCCTTTAGAGCCCAAAATATCCTCCACACATTCAGAACATTGTCAAACATGTGGAAGGGAACAGAGAGCAGGCTTGCCGCTTGACTTGACCTTGCCCTGATGTGTTAGTTACCTTCTCAAAAATGCCAGAGTCGTGGCTCTTCATCTTGGAGTTGAAGCTGGAGGAGCTGTAAGGCTTGAAGGCTGGGAGCTTGGCTGTGTCCTTGCTGATATCACAGGACACCTGGCGGCTAGCCGGCCTGGAGCCCATACTGGAGAGGTCAGCCTCCGTATCTGTCCAGCCCTGGGAGAAGGAACCATTACATAACCGTCAGACAGACACCTGGACAGACAGACAGACATATGCATGCATCAGGACATATTTATCCGTACTGATTCGCTGTCGGAGGCGGAGGAGAGGCGGGACTTGACGGTGCTGGTGCGGCGTAAGCGATCGCTGATGTCGGAGGTCTGGCTGGTGACAGTGGAGCGTCGGGTGGACATGAAGCTGCTGTTGGTGGAGCGCAAGTCACGTCTACGTACACACAGCAACACCCCCAGACACGGGATGTACTTGGCTATGGCCATCCTGAAGACAGAATGGAGGGGGCAAACTAAGGATATGTACCCACATGAAAAAATACTACAGTTTACTATCGAATACTACGGTTCTTAGTATCCCTCGATCATGTGTAGTACTTTTATTATAGAATGTTAGTATACTGTAGAACAGTGTTTCCCAACCCTGGTCCTCCAGTACCCCCAACAGTACCCATTTTTGTTGTAGCCCTGGACAAACACACCTCATTCAGCTCATTGAGGGCTTGATGATTAATTGACAAGTTGAATCAGGTGTCCTTGTTCAGCGTTACAATAAAAATGTGTACTGTTGGGGGTACTCGAGGACCAGAGTTGGGAAACACTGCTGTAGAATACTACAGTAAATACTACTGTATTATCCGCAACAAAAAAACACTGTAGTAAATACTACAGTAATGTATGCAAAAACACTACACTTTTTTAACTACAGTAAATACTACAGTATTACATTTGCAAATATCACAATTTGTGCCACCCATAAGTGACAAACCTACATGCCAATATGCGAAGGTACAAGGTATTTTAGGAAGATACAGTATGTACATGAAGGCAGGGTAAAGTGACTAGGCATCAGGATTAGGACCACCACACCTGCAGTCATGAGTCATGACCGCAGTAAAATTCCATGTGAACGTTGAGTCACTGTAATATCCATTTATGCACTCTGGACATGCCTTTGTAGTACGCAACTTGCTAACTACCATCAGATCCTAATGGGCTGGTACTATTGTCCCTCTAACCGCTCTGACATCAATGCAAATGCAATCGAAAATCACAGGCCTATAGTACTTTTAAAACTCACCTCACTGAAGGCTGATCAATTTGAAGAAAGAACTTCAACAGCAGGTTGAAACTGAGTGTAAAACATGGTCATTGTGGATGTTGTTTCAAAGCCTAACACAACGAATTGAACAGTGCTTTATAAGGTGATGATGAATTAAAAACACCCATATGCATATTAGAGCTTATGCATATGCATATAATCAGGATAGATATTAATAAGAGTAAAATAAAGGACAGAGTAGCAGCAGTAAGTGATGAGTGTAAAAATGTGTGTGTAATATGTATGTATGTGTGTTTGTCTTGTGTCTGTCTGCGTGTGTGTGTTATGTCTGTGTGGGCGTATGTAGTGTATGTGTGTGGTTTTGTGTGGTAGTGTCAATGTAGTTTGTGTGAGTGAGTGTGCATATGGTTTGTATACATAGTCTAGTGAGTGTGCGTAGGGTCAGTGACTAGCCAGGGGCCTGATGTATCATGTCAGAGGAAATTATGACTAACACTGAAAACCTCTGGACATTCAGTACTACAGTACAACTCTTGGCATCCCATCCTATTCTAACTCCCTCTCACTGGCTGTGTATTCATGTTACCTGATGAAATTGCTGTACAATATGATCTTGTTGCCATCTGATGCACAGTCAAATGTCATAAAAAATCAACACAGCAAAGATCTCCCTCTCTGCCGTGCCAAGATTGTATTACTGCTGATGATATCTGGAAATGCGCATGTACACCCTGGCCCGTCTACTGTTGCTAGCCCCAATTCTGACTTGTGATCAGATTTCGGCTTCACTGATTTCTGCCCTCGTAAAAGCTTGGGTTTTCTGCAAGTTAACACTAGAAGCTTATAACCTAAAATGGATCAATTGAAAGTGTGGGTTCACAACTCCAATCCAGATGTGTTGGTCATTACTGAGACATGGTTAAGAACGAATGTTCTGAACACTGATTTTAAAGTTTCTGGTTATAACCTTTTTCTGCAAGACAGATCTTCCAAATGTGGTGGAGTGGCAATCTTTACCAAGGAACACCTTCAGTGCTCGGAACACCTTCAGTGCTCCACCAAGTCTGTCCCCAAACAATTTGATTTGCTGGTTTTAAGCATGAATCTTTCAAATAGCTCTTTGTTTACTGTTGCTGGGTGTTATCGTCCACCATCAGCACCAGCCTGTACCCTACCTGCCCTAAGCTCTCTCCTGGCCCCTTACACTAGGTCTGAAATTGTCCTACTAGGCGACCTAAACTGGGACAAGCTTAAACCACCTGACCAATTCTTAAAACAATGGGACTCCCTAAATCTCTCTCAGATTATTACCAATCCCACAAGGTATTTAAAAAAATGTTTTACATCATTTAGCAGATGCTCTTATCCAGAGCGACTTACAAATTGGTGCATTCAACTTATGATAGCCAGTGGGACAACCACTTTTTTTTTTTTTATGATGGGGGATGGGGGAAGAAGGATTACTTTATATTATTCCAGGTATTCCTTAAAGAGGTAGGGTTTCAAGTGTCTCTGGAAGGTGGTCAGTGACTCCGCTGTCCTGGCGTCGTGGGGGAGCTTGTTCCACCATTGGGGTGCCAGAGCAGCGAATAGCTTTGACTGGGCAGAGCGGGAACTGTGCTTTCGTAGATGTAGGGGAGCTAGCAGGCCAGAGGTGGATGAACGTAGTGCCCTCGTTTGGGTGTAGGGTTATCTACTAAGTAATTTTTCCAACAATTGTTTACAGACAGATTATTTCACTTATAATTCACTGTATCACAATTCCAGTGGGTCAGAAGTTTACATACACTAAGTTGACTGTGCCTTTTAACAGCTTGGAAAATTCCAGAAAATGATGTCATGGCTTTAGAAGCTTCTGATAGGCTAATTGACATCATCTGAGTCAATTGGAGGTGTACCTGTGAATGTATTTCAAGGCCTACCTTCAAACTCAGTGCCTCTTTGCTTGACATCATGGGAAAATCCAAAGAAATCAACCAAGACCTCAGAAAAAAAATTGTAGACCTCCACAAGTCTGGTTCATCCTTGGGAGCAATTTCCAAACACCTGAAGGTACCACGTTTATCTGTACAAACAATAGTATGCAAGTATAAACCCCATGGGACCAAGCAGCCATCATACCGCTCAGGAAGGAGACGCGTTCTGTCTCCTAGAGTTGAACATACTTTGGTGCGAAAAGTGCAAATCAATCCCAGAACAACAGCAAAGGACCTTGTGAAGATGCTGGAGGAAACCAGTACAAAAGTATCTATATCCACAATAAAACGAGTCCTATATCGACATAACCTGAAAGGTCACTCAGCAAGGAAGAACCCACTTAAAAAAGCCAGACTAAGGTTTGCAACTGCACATGGGAACAAAGATCGTACTTTTTGGAGAAATATCCTCTGGTCTGATGAAACAAAAATAGAACTGTTTGGCCATAATGACCATCGTTATGTTTGGAGGAAAAAGGGGGGTGGCTTGCAAGCCGAAGAACACCATCCCAACCGTGAAGCACGGGGGTGGCAGCATCATGCTGTGGGGGTGCTTTGCTGCAGGAGGGACTGGTGCACTTCACAAAATAGATGGCATCATGAGGAAGGAATATTATGTGGATATATTGAAGCAACATCTCAAGACATCAGTCAGGAAGTTAAAGCTTGGTCGCAAATGGGTCTTCCAAATGGACAATGACCCCAAGCATACTTCCAAAGTTGTGGCAAAATGGCTTAAGGACAACAAAGTCAAGGTATTGGAGTGGCCATCACAAAGCACTGACCTCAATCCTATAGAAAATGTGTGGGCAGAACTGAAAAAGTATGTGCGAGCAAGGAGGCCTACAAACCTGACTCAGTTACACCAGCTCTGTCAGGAGGAATGGGCCAGAATTCACCCAACTTATTGTGGGAAGCTTGTGGAAGGCTACCCGAAACGTTTGACCCAAGTTAAACAATTTAAAGGCAATGCTACCAAATACTAATTGAGTGTATGTAAACTTCTGACCCACTGGGAATGTGATGAAAGAAATAAAAGCTGAAATAAATCATTATCTCTACTATTATTCTGACATTTCACATTCTTATGATAAAGTGGTGATCCTAACTGACCTAAAACAGGGAATTACAACTAGGAATAAATGTCAGGAATTGTGAAAAACTGAGTTTAAATGTATTTGGCTAAGGTGTATGTAAACTTCCGACTTCAACTGGCATTGTTAACAAGCACGCCCCCATATAGAAAATGAGAATTAAAAACAGGTTCAGTCCCTTGTTCAACCGTGATCACCATTTGGCGAAGGGCTCAGCACACAAATACTCAGGCTGACTGGCAAATGGGAAATAAGTTCAGGCAAATGGAAAATAAGCGCACTCAGGCTATCCGGAAGGCCAAAGTTAGTTACTGTACTTTAAGAAGCAGTTTTCTCTCCGTGGGTCTAACCCCAAGAAGTTCTGGAAAAAGGTGAAAGACCTGGAGAATAAACCCTCCTCTTCACAGCTGTCCATGTACCTTAATGTTGATGATGTGGTTGTTACTGACAAGGAGCGTATGGCTGAGCTCTTTAATCACCACTCAGGATTCCTATTTGACTCAGCCATGCCTCCTTGCCCATCCAACACTTCCTCTTCTCCCAGCCTTTCTAATGCACCTCCCTCTTTTTCCCCTGCCCCGCTACACAGCTTCACCCTGCAGGCGGTCACTGAGTCTGACGTGCTAAAAGAGCTCCTTAAACTTGACCCCAAAAAACCATCTGGGTCAGATGGTTTAGAACTTTTCATCTTTAAGGTTGCAGCCCGTATCATCGCCGAGCCTATCCCTCGCCTTTTTAACCTGTCTTTCCTCTCTGGAGAGGTTCCCAGTCTTGGAAGGCAGCCATTGTGCATCCTTTATTTAAAGGGGGAGCTCAAGCTCATCCTAACGGTTATAGGCCAATTTCTATCTTGCCTTGTTTATCAAAAGTGTTGGAAAAACTTGTCAATAATCAACTGACTGACTTTCTTGATGTTTATAGTATTCTCTCTGGTATGCAATCTGGTTTCCGCTTAGGTTATGGATGTGTCACTGCAACGTTAAAGTTCCTAAATTATGTCACCATTGCCCTTGATTCTAAGCAATGTTGTGCTGCTATTTCTATTGACTTGGCCAAAGCTTTTGATACAGTAGAGAATTCCATTATTATGGGTCGGCTAAGGAGTATTCGTGTCTTTGAGGGGTCTTTGGCCTGGTTTTCTAACTACCTCTCTCAAAGAGTGCAGTGTGTAAAGTCAGAACATCTGCTGTCTCAGCCACTGCCTGTCACCAAGGGAGTACCCCAAGGCTCGATCCTAGGCCCCGCGCTCTTCTCAATTTACATCAACAACATAGCTCAGGCATTAGGAAGCGCTCAACAAAGCTTTCTTAGTGTCCAACAAGCTTTCTCTGCCCTTAACCTTGTTCTGAACACCTCCAAAACAAAGATAATGTGATTCGGTAAGAAGAATGCCCCCCCACCGGTGTGATTACTAAATCTGAGGGTTTAGAGCTTGAGGTAGTCACCTCATACAAGTACTTGGAAGTATGGCTAGATGGTACACTGTCCTTCTCTCAGCACATATCCAAGCTGTAGGCTAAGGTTACATCTAGACTTGGTTTCCTCTATTGTAATCGCACCTCTTTCACCCCAGCTGCCAAACTAACCCTGATTCAGATGACTATCCTACACATGCTAGATTACGGAGACATAATTTATAGATTGGCAGGTAAGGGTATTCTCGAGCGGCTAGATGTTCTTTACCATTCGGCCATCAGATTAGCTACCAATGCTCCTTATAGGACACATCACTGCACTCTATACTCGTCTGTAAACTGACCATCTATGTATACCCGACACAAGACCCACTGGTTAATGCTTATTTATAAAACCTTCTTAGGCCTCACTCCCCCCTATCTGAGATACCTACTACAACCCTCATCCTCCACATACAACACCCGTTCTGCCAGTCACATTATTTTAAAGGTCCCCAAAGCACACACATCCCTGGGTCGCTCCCCTTTTCAGTTAGCTGCAGCTAGCGACTGGAACGAGCTGCAAAAAACACTCAAACTGGACAGTTTTATCTCCATCTCTACATTTAAAGATGCTCTTACTGACACTTGTGGCTGCTTCACGTGATGTATTGTTGTCTCTACCTTTTTGCCATTTGTGCTCTTGTCTGTGCCTAACAATGTTTGTACCATGTTTGTGCTGCTACCATGTTGTGCTGCTGCCATGTTGTGTTGCTACCGTGTTGTTGTCATGTTGTGTTGTTACCATGCTGTGTTGTCATGGGTTGCTGCCATGCTGTGCTGTTGTCTTAGGTCTCTCTTTATGTAGTGTTCTGGTGTTGCTCTTGTCATGATGTGTGTTTTGTTCTACTTTTTGTATTTTTATCCCAGCCCCTGTCCCTGCAGAAGGCCTTTTGCCTCTTGGTAGGCAGTCATTGTATATAAGAATTTGTTCTTAATTGACTTGCCTAGTAAATAAAGATGAAATAATCTTTTTAAAACTATATGTACATCCAACATGCAAGCAATAATTTACCTTGAGCAGTGATAAATTACTAAAAAACAAAAAGTACACAGCGGTAAACAATCTAGGTCCACTATATATTCATTCTTATAATCCTTCCTGTGTGGTGAGAAGATTATAATGATGTCCAGTTGAGTTAACATCCAGGTTTATGAGTGATTGTAGAGTGGAGAGTTTAGTCTGATCGCTAGCTAACAGAGGCTATATCCTTCCTGTCTCTCAGATTTGATCGATTCTTATGGGATGGAATGGAATGGTTCACTGGGGTAGTATCACATTAGTGTAATAAAAAACAACAAAAGAATAGCTCTTTGACTTTGTTGCTCAACGGAATTCCAAAATGGGGTTAGGTTGCGTAAGAAGATTTGACTCATAATGCAACAATAGAAACAACAGAAACCAATAGGTTTCATGTTTAATTGTTGTGACAGCAAGACTACGGTACCTGTACTTGGGGTGGGTGATGGCATAGATGATGGGGTTGTGAATGGCTGAAGCCTTGGCGATCACAGCAGGAACTGAGTTCATGTAGGGGGTCAGAAAATCTGCATACCTACAGGTGACATGGAGAAGACAGGGAGAGAAGGCTGTTAGGCTGTAAAGCAGAATTATACAATATATGAAGTACCTGAATGGTCAAGGTTTGAATATGTCGCTGCAGCATTGTAGTGTTTGCATAGAAAAATAATACAAACTGCTTTGGCTAGTGGAGCTTGCCCCTGAAGTTAGGCCAAAGACAAGTGTGTGGTCTACCTGGACGACCTCCTTGTGCATGCCGTATGGATCTCTGGCAAATCTGAGTGAGGTTCTACTTTCCATCCGGCACGTAGGACTCATGCTCCACCCCAAGAAGTGTCACCTACTGCAAAGGGGGGTCAAGTTCGTAGCCCATGTCATCGGGGCAGATGGAGTTGCATCTGATCCAGCCAAGGTGGTGGCGGTTCAGCACTGGCCGAACCACAAGGATCTCTCTGAGTTGACAAGCTTCGTTGGCCTAGCTTCTTACTACCAGAGGTTCATCAAGTACTTTGCAACAGTAGCCAGCCCTCTACACCGCCTTACAAACAAGGATCAGCGGTTCGACTGGGATAATGACTGCATGGCAGTATTCGCTGAACTGCGTCAGGCCCTTATCAAGGCTCCAGTCCTGGCATACCCAACCCCCAGCACCCATTCATTGTGGACACAGATGCCAGCAATGTGGGCATTGGGGCCATTCTTTCGCTGGAGGAGTCAAAGCCTCAACCGTGCTGAGCGCAACTACTGTGTCACCCTGCGAGGGTTATTGGCTGTGGTCAAAGTACCATCATTTCCGACCCTACCTCTACAGGACCCAGTTCCTCCTCCATACTGACCATGCCTCACTCACCTTGCACCTCAGCTTCCGAGAACCATAGGGCCAGGTGGCTCGCTGGATAGAAGAGTTACAGGAGTCTGACTACCAGATATAGCACCGGGCTGGTCGTCAAGCAGCAGACAGGAGCTCAGCACCATTGGAGACCTGGAATGACCAAGACCTGAAGAGGGAGCAGGAAGGTGACCCGGTGTTGGCAACTGTTTGGGGCTGGTTGGAGACCTGGAACAGAGTCTCACCGCTGTGCCCCGAAACCAAGGCCTACTACTCACAGTGGGACAACCTTGCCATTCACAATGGGGTGTTGTTTCGAAGATGGAGGGAACCAACACACAACTCTGTGGTGTGGCAGCGGCTGGTGCCTCGTTCCATGTGTGGCCATGCCCTCAGAGCTGTCCATAGGTCAGTGTGGGCTGGCCACTTCGGGTACACAAAGACCCTCCAACTCCTCCAAAGGAAACTCTACTGGGCTGGCTGCCGCCAAGACACGGAACAGTATGTGCATGCCTGTGACACCTGTACTGCCCACAAAGGACCAACCGGACGCACCCATGCCCCGTTGCAGCAATATCAGGTGGGGGCCCCCATGGGGAGGGTTGGTGTGGACATCCTGTGTCCTTTTCCCGTGACAGAGGAAGGCAATCGATACGTACTTGTGGCGATCGACTATTTTACCAAGTGGCCAGAGGCCTACGCGGTCCCCGACCAGCGCACCACAACCACAGCCAACATGCTGGTGGAGGAGATGTTCTGCCAGTTTGGAGCACCGGAACAACTCCACAGTGATTAGGGGAGAAATTTGGAAGCTACAGTGTTGGCGATACGGACTTTGGCGATACAGCTGGCCACTCTCACCTTCAACGACCAGAAGGACTGGGACCGACTGCCATTGGTCTTGTGGGCCTATCGTTCAGCATTGCAGGAGTTCACTGGATGCACCACAGCAGTGCTGATGTTTGGCAGAAAACTACGCACTCCAGTGGATTAGTCCTTTGGAAGACCTTCAGAGCACGAGGTTCCTGGACACAGCCCACGACTTTTAACGGCATCGCTTGACAGAAGCAGGGGTAAAGCAGAAGGTATATAACACCCTCTGTCGAGGTCAGCCTTTCCAGACTGGCCAAGAAGTGTGGGTATATAGCCCCTGGCGCAAGCATGGTCTTAGCCCGAAAACGAATGAGTCACTGGGAAGGCCCATGCATGGTTCCGGAGTGACTTTCTGACGTGATGTACTGCAGGCAGCTTCGGACTCATGGACGAGTTGTGGTCCTCCATCAAGATCGGCTGGCGCCTTACCAACCTCATACACCTTGTGAAGTGGAAAGAGAAGGTGAGATGGTGGTTACTCCTCACAGCCCTGGACCATAGGACAATGCAGCGGTTTCCTCACCTGAGGGGCAAGGTCAGAATGGGACTCCCCCACGGCAATCAGACCTCCAGGTTTGACCTCCAGGTTTCAGGACTTAGTGTTGGATTTCGGGGTTGTCGGGGACGACTGACCCCTTAGGTGGGGGCAATGTGGCGGCGGCAGCCTATTAGACTGCAGCTAGCGACTGGAACGAGCTGCAAAAAACACTCAAACTGGACACGCTTACTGACACTTGTGGCTGCTTCGCATGATGTATTGTTGTCTCTACCTTATTGTCCTTTGTGCTGTTGTCTGTGCCCAATAATGGTTCTACCATGTTTTGTGCTACTATAATGTTGTACTGCTGCCATGTTATGTTGCTACCGTGTTGTTGTCATGTTGTGTTGCTACCATGCTGTGTTGTCATGTGTTTTGCCGCCATGCTGTGTTGTTGTTTTAAGTCTCTCTTTATGTAGTGTTGTGGTGTTTCTGTCTTGTCGTGATGTGTGTTTTGTCCTACATTTAACATTTTTATCCCAGCCCCCGTCCCCGCAGGAGGCCTTTTGCCTTTTGGTAGGCCGTCATTATAAATAAGAATTTGTTCTTAACTGACTTGCCTAGTTAAATAAAGGTTTAAAAAAATTCTGGCAAGAAACATCAAGCTTGTACACTGCCAGTTCGGTAGTGTCAATATGATTGATATAAGTGCATGTGATACCAAACAGTGTTGTCAACTTAGCGACTTTGTAGCTATGTTTAGCGAGTATTCAGACCCCTCTAGCGACAAGTTTTCAAAAAAGCGACTAGTGACAAATCTAGGGACTTTTTCTGGTGTTATTGGAGACTCTGACGTGAAAGCACGTATCGTTCTTACTCTTCTCAACGAGCAGCGGGTGCTGCCGTAGGCCCCACCCCTGTCCCAAAGCACTCACAGGCAGCCCAGTCCTCGTGCAGCAGTCAGAGCAGGAGATGTTCACCCCTCCACGTCCAGACTGCAAATGAATCGCGCATGTGGGAAGCCGCCGCTGGCTGATCCCGCCCTGGCTTACATTCAGGGCGGGATGTAAATGTAATTTTTTTATTTTTTTAAGAATCGGCAGAAAAAAGTTCATTTGTAGTTCTAAACATATTTAGTGTGTTTTTTACTCACCTTTTGGCTCTCCCACGACGTTATTCCTCTCTCCTACAGCGTCCATCACAATGACATGCACATGGCCAATTATGCAAATTAGGAGATGACGTCATTTAGCGACTTTTAGGACAGCCAATAGCTACTTTCCTTACTGAGGAGTTGGCAACACTGACACCAAAGAGCCTACTAGAGTTCCACTAAGACAGGCACCATTTTGTTACAATACAGTATATATCAAAGCACTCACCCTGCAAATGCGGTCAGGGCCACAACGGAATATGGGGACCAAGAGATTACATAGAGGAGGATGACTATAAGAGCAATCTTAGCCATCTTCCACTCATTCTTCAACCGACGGAAACTCTTAATTGAGTCTCTGGTGCTCCCAGTGCAGTTGATCTTGGTTACAGCCCTATGACACACACAGAAAAATAAATGTGAAATGTGAGAAATTTGAAATGCTTCAGAGAATCCAATTTCCAGTAACTTACCACACACTTTTACATGTAATTTAATTGGACACACCTTCAGTGATATGTCTAGAGCAGCTCTCTGGTATCCAATCCACTTACCTGTTAGTTGTACGTATGGCTCTGAAGATGAAGAAGTAGCAGTACATGATGACGATGAGGGGGATGAAGAAGACAAAGGTGAAGAGCAGCATGGTGTAGGCACGCACTGATGGGGTGAAGGTCACATAGTCCCATGTACAGGAGGTCAACAGGCCCTCTGGAACATAGGCGCCTGGGAGGAGAGGGGGGTAAGGGAGAAGGGAGAAGGGGGGAGGGAGAGGAAGGAGAGCGAAAGGGGTAGAGAAAGGAGGAAAAGAGAGGCGGGACATAGAAAGTCAGAAAAGGAAAGGGGGAAAAGGACAGAAGATAAGTGGAGGGATACGGCATTGTCAAAACCTTTCTTCTTCAACACCACTTCAAAGTCGTCAACAAGTTGTCCTTCATGCCTCATCCATTGAAGCCCTGCTATGGTAAAACGTTCAGAGTGCCAGGGAAAGTTAAGGACACTCACATCAATAGGAAGACGCAGGAACATCAAAGCTTGGATCAAGGGAGCACTTCTGATGATCTAAACGCTCTGGACAATCAAAGCCTCAAAGTGTATAATGGTGCAGTTTTGTTTAGCTTTTATGTTATTGATGTTATTTCCCCTGATGGCATGGAATGACGTGATAATCAGCGGAGATGGGGCAGAGATGGGGCCGTCAGATGGGTTTAAGGAGACAGATGCCCTTTGTGTGGTCAGAGAGGACACGCGTACTGCGGAACAATGTCTGGGGTGGCATGTCTGCACATAGACCCCCAGGCTGCAGGGGGTAGGCAGTCCATGACCTGCTACCTCTCTCCCCAAACCCCCTCCACCCTCCACATTGTCTGAGTTAGCGTGTCGCCCTTAAGGCCCTTTCCAGCATGTCACCCATTAGCGTGCTAGACAGAATAGTGTTAAGTCAATTTGGAGCTGCTGGATACATTTGTTATATGCCAGAGATTCGCACAGTCATGGGGTGTGAGTCATTCTGACTACAGTATATTGTAAGGCCAGAGCAATGTGAGGCTTATGAGGGGCCCATTCCAGCCTGTTCGCCCACTAGTTTCATTCTCTTTCTTCTCACTGAGAGATCTCTGTCAGCTCAGCATACCTGATCCAATGCCAAAATCCTCATGCTTAAACTAAGCTACCGCAGACTGGAGTTCAAAGAGAGAACACAGAGCCAGGGGGAGCACTCTCTCTTGCTGTCTTTCTCTCTCTTGCTGTCTTTCTCTCTCTCTTGCTGTCTTTCTCTCTCTTGCTGTCTTTTTCTCTCTCTTGCTGTCTTTCTCTCTCTCTTGCTGTCTTTCACTCTCTTGCTATCTTTCACTCTCTTGTTGTCTTTCACGCTTTCTTGCTGTCTTTCACTCTCTCTTGTTGTCTTTCTCTCTCTCTTGCTGTCTTTCTCTCTCTCTTGCTGTCTTTCTCTCTCTCATGCTGTCTTTTTCTCTCTCTTGCTGTCTTTTTCTCTCTCTTGCTGTCTTTCTCTCTCTCTTGCTGTCTTTTTCTCTCTCTTGCTGTCTTTCTCTCTCTCTTGCTGTCTTTCTCTCTCTCTTGCTGTCTTTCTCTCTCTCTTGCTGTCTTTCTCTCTCTCTTGCTGTCTTTCTCTCTCTCTTGTTGTCTTTCTCTCTCTCTTGCTGTCTTTCTCTCTCTCTTGCTGTTTTTCTCTCTCTCTTGCTGTCTTTCTCTCTTTCTTGCTGTCTTTCTCTCTCTTGCTGTCTTTCTCTCTATTGTTGTCTTTCTCTCTCTCTTGCTGTCTTTTTATCTCTTTCTAACACATGCATATGTAGCACATGGGGATGTGTGAAACGTACTCCTCAGCGTGTAATGTTCCCACTTGCGCCAGCGAAAAGCTAGCTTTTCACGTGGTGCTGACTGGTAAGACGCTTCAGGAGGGCGGGCACGTGTGCTAGCAAGGCAGATGTCCTGAGTTCGCGCCAGGTATGGGCCGAATCCGGAGGAGGTGGTACTCGCTAAGCAAGCAGTGTGACGTCTTTTACAGTGGTGCCGTGACCTGGATCTACAGTTGCGCTCAGCTCAATGCTGGGGTCGCTGTTGAGTAAGTTTGAGGGGAGAATGTAGCACATGGGGATGTTTGAAACTTACTCCTCAGCCTGAAGTGTCTCCACTTGCACCAGCGAACAGCTAGCTTTTTGCGTGCTGCCGACTGGTAAGACACTTTAGGAGGGCGGTCATGTGTGCTAGCAAGGCAGAGGTCCCGAGTTCGCGCCAGGAATGGGCCAAATCGGGAGGAAGTGGTACTCGCTAAGCAAGCATCATGACATCCTTTACACATATACTGACACAATCATGACTCTTCCATACAGTGTATACAGCCCTGGCATCATATAACCTCATCCCAAGCTTGGCTCATGACCCAGGAATATGCTCTCTCTCTCTCTTTCTGTGTGTGTGTGTGTCCATGGACTTACTCCAGCCGAAGAAAGGTGGCAGGCTCCATCCCAATGAGTACACCCAGGCAGCCATGAGGATGAGTAGGGCTCGTTTCTTGGACAGCACCCCGATGGAGGCCAGCGGACGTGTGATCACAAAGTAGCGGTCCACTGCTATCACCATCAGAGTGATCATAGAGCAGATCCCAAATAGAGCCCCACAGAATGCATACAGCTCACAGCCTAGAGGACACAGAGACAGTACAGTTAATTACTGAGATAAAGAAAGATAGGAGAGAGAGTCAGAGTACTGTTAATTACTGAGAGAAAGAAAGATAGGTGAGAGAGTGAGAGAGAAGAGAGGGTGAAAGAGAGAAAGAGAGGGTGAAAGAGAGAAAGAGATGCAGCATGTCGGTTGGTGTGTTGTAATGCCCCCTGTGGGTGATAGCACACTTTATAGCCTGGATAATAATGATAATGATCAGCAAAGAACCAGGTCAAACAGAAGGACAGCCTGCAGAGAAAGTGGGAGTTGCAAGGGGTAATACTGACCTCATCTCAGATTCACACCCAACACCCACCCTGCTGTGACACCCACCCATCTCCACTCTGCACAGAGCTGAACATATACCTCAAACAAAACCTCAATGTCTCACAGAATATAGATATTGTGCAACATACTGTATGTATGTATGTATATAACTATAGACCACCCCACAGCTGTGTTAATACAAATCATACACTCCATAGGTCATGCCTTCCCTGGGGTTATACCTGTGTTAGTGTGGTATGGCAGTAGCCTAGGCTGTTGTAACACATCCTCACTGGTGGGTGATGCCAGGGAGGATTAGACGCCTGAATTTACTGGGGTAAATAGGGTTTAACAATGGCAGAAGTGGGAACACATGGTAGGTACAGCTCTGGTTCTGGCTATTTCAGGGTGATTTTACAACTACGTGCACTTTTGGCATGTCTTATTTTGGGGAAAAATATGTTTTTTGAAAAATACTTCTATCAACATAAATATTTTTCTATTTTTATCAGGAACCTTAAATGTGCTATTGGCTGTGACCATTTTATTCAATAATATATGTAATTGACTCCCTTTTCCCCAATACACCTTCTGCAGGTGTCATTACCATCACATCATAAAACATTCAATTTTAGTTTAAAACTGAATCACAAACACAATAGGATTTGGGATTATTTGGTTTATCTGTCTATAGGATTTGGTAATACCACATTTAGAAATAATTATTTTAATTCCTTATTGCAAAAATAAGCAATTACTTGTTGAAAAATGCAATTACCTGTTAAAATTGTTATGTATGTCTAATTTTTAAGTAGTTATTGAGAACAAGTAAGTGCTTTACACCTGTAGAAGACAGGAGTGTGATATCTAATGTGTAAATATATTTGTTCTTAACAAATATGCTATGATTGTGTTGGTAATGACTGTGTGGCGGCAATGACTAGGGTAATAGTAAAATGCATTAGTTGTTAAAAATAACTGGGTAGAAATGTGTGTTTAAAATATGATTGATTGCTACAAAGACAGTGAAATATTAAGTGATAAGCAGTATTGAGCAAAGGTTCTACAGAAAGTCGCTATTTTGTGATGGTAATGACAGTGTTGGTAATGGGTGAAGTTACCCTTTAATTCCAGTGTATTTGGGGAGTTTCTCCCATCCCTCTCTGCAGATCCTCTCAAGCTCTGTCAGGTTGGATAGGGAGCATTGCTGCACAGCTATTTTCAGCTCTCTCCAGAGATGTTTGATCGGGTTCAAGTCCGGGCTCTGGCTGGGCCACTCAAGGACATTCAGAGACTTGTCCCGAAGCCACTCCTGTGTTGTCTTGACTGTATGCTTATGGTCGTTGTCCTGTTGGAAGGTGAACACGTCGCCCCAGTCTGAGGTCCTGAGCGCTCTGGAGCAGGTTTTCATCAAGGATATCGCTGTACTTTGCTCCGTTCATCTTTGCCTCGATCCTGACTAGTCTCCCAATCCCTGCCGCTGAAAAACATCCCCACGGCATGATGCTGCCACCACCATGCTTCACCGTAGGGATGGTGCCAGGTTTCCTCCAGGAGTGACGCTTGGCATTCAGGCCAAAGAGTTCAATATTGGTTTCATCAGACCAGATAATCTTGTTTCTCATGTTCTGAGAGTCTTTAGGTGCATTTTGGCAAACTCCAAGCGGGCTGTCATGTGCCTTTTACTGAGGAGTGGCTTCCGTCTGGCCACTTTACCATAAAGGCCTGATTGGTGGAGTTCTGCAGAGATAGTTGTCCTTCTGGAAGGTTCTCCCATCTCCACAGAGGAACTCTGGAGCTCTGTCAGAGTGACCATCAGGTTTCTTGGTCACCTCCCTGACCAAGGCCCTTTTCCCCCGATTGCTCAGTTTGGCCGGGTGGCCAGCTCTAGGAAGAGTCTTGGTGGTTCCAAACTTCTTCCATTTAAGAATGATAGAGGCCACTGTGTCCTTGGGGATCTTCAATGCTGCAGATATTTTTTTGTGCCCTTCCCCAGATCTGTGCCGCAACACAATCCTGTCTCGGAGCTCTACCAACAATTCCTTCGACCTCATGGCTTGGTTTTTGCTCTGACATGCACTGTCAACTGTGGGACCTTTATAGACAGGGGTGTGCCTTTCCAAGTCATGTCATGTCAATTGCATTTACCACAGGTGGACTCCAATCAAGTTGTAAAAACATCTCAAGGATGATCAATGGAGTCTCATAGCAAAGGGTCTGAATACTTATGTAAATAATGTATTTCTGTTTTTATTTTTAATTAATTGGCAAAGATGTCTAAAAACCGGTTTTCACTTTGTCATTATGGGGTATTGTGTGTAGATTGATGAGGAAAAATATAATTTAATCAATTTTAGAATAAGGCTGTAATGCAACAAAATGTAGAAAATGGGAAGGGGTCTGAAACCACAGTAGAGAAGGTGTTGGAAAAACCACAGGATGCCGAGTCTTTGAGTCTTTCATTGACAGGATTACTACTATAGCCACCGACGCCTAGGACCGGTAGGGCAGTCCCGAGTAGCAGGTGTGTAAGACTGCACCAGACATGTTTCCCTGTTTCAATAGGGACATATTGACTACAATGTTTTGGCTCAATTCAGTTATTTTATAAGAGCAGTTGTTATAGACATAAGGGTGAGGGGGCCCAGTCGGACCACCTGAAAGTATGCTAATTTCGTTCATTATAAATTGGTTTTCTAGCCTATGTCTCCTTGTAGTGTCCAACAGTTCCACAGTGTTTATGGGGGAACTTATAGCCCACTTCGTTTGGGGAAGGGAGGTGGGGAATGTTTTTTTTTGTTTTTCATTTGTCCTTTACGTGTTGCGCCAGCCCTACTGCTACAATTGTAATGTATTTGAGGACCAAATAATAATTTCTTATGGCTACTGTTAACTCTACCCCTTCGCCATGATGTGGCGACATTACCCTTCTTTCGTGGAATGTATGAGGTTTGAAAACGAATTTGAAAAGAGGCAAAGTTTTTTCACATTTGAAATCTTTATCTGGAGACATGTTTTTACAAGAAACTCACATAAAGCATATGGAACAATGGAGATTGAAATTTTTTAATCTTTATGCACCGAATTTCGATGACCCAGGGATCTTTCCGAATGTTTTCAGTCTCTTAACAGATTCATCAACCACACATTTAATTACAGGCAGAGATATTAACTGTATTTTGGATCCTTATATGGATAGGCTTCCTGCTCGCCTCACCACTTCACTGAATTCCACTACTGTCTTGAATAATTTAATTGGAACAATGAACCTTGTCGATGTTTGGAGATTACAACACCCTACCGATAAGGATTATTCTTTCTTCTCACATGTGCATAAATCATACACAAGAATTGACTACTTTTTAACAGGCTCTAAATTGACATCTAACGTCACCTTTACCAAGTACCATAATATTATAATTTCCGATCACAGTCCCGTTTCATTACAAATGGATTTCGGCAGAACAAAGCCTCGATTTAAAGCTGGCGATTTAATCTAACATTAATCAATGATGAACAATTTCACCAACAAACAGCCAATTTAATTACGGACTATATGTCCCAGAATGATACTGCTTATGTATCCTACTCCACTTTGTGATAGGCATTTAAGGCTGTTATGATGGGCATATAATATCATGAGGCTACCATAAAAAAAGTTAGGCAGAGAAGATTATTTGAAATCGAGGCACAGCTCCCGGTGCTTGAGAGAGATTATATGGAAGCGCCCTTATCTTCCAAGTTGAATGACATAATAAAACTCAAATATGAATACAATACTATTCTCTCTAATTAAGTAAACACAATGTTATTCAAGATTAAACAAAAACACTTCGTGTTGGGTGACAAGCCGGATAAACTCATGGCGCGCAAGCTGAGAGGTATACAGGCCAATAGAGCTATTCATACAATTACATCTAGTACAGGAGCTGTTACTACGAACCAAAAATAAATTAATGCATGTTTCACAAAGACTCCCGGAGTCTTTACATTCAGTCAATATCTCCCTAATATTAAAGAAAGATAAAGATGAAACAGATCCATCTTCATATCGTCCTATTGCCCTCCTCGGATGCGACCTTAAGGTGTTTACTACATTATTTGCAAACAGACTAAATAAATGCATTTCGACTATAATTCATCATGACCAAACTGCCAGATTCTCATTTTCCAAACAGGTATTCCAAACATGACAAAGATGATAAAGTTGCCATTCTTGCACTTGACGCTCAAAAAGCATTTGACCAAGTGGAATGGAACTACAGTGAGGGAAAAACGTATTTGATCCCCTGCTGATTTTGTACGTTTGCCCACTGACAAAGAAATGATCAGTCTATAATTTTAATGGTAGGTTTATTTGAACAGTGAGAGACAGAATAACAACAACAAAATCCAGAAAGACGCAGGTCAAAAATGTTATAAATTGATTTGCATTTTAATGAGGGAAATAAGTATTTGACCCCCTCTCAATCAGAAAGATTTCTGGCTCCCAGGTGTCTTTTATACAGGTAACAGCTGAGATTAGGAGCACACTTTTAAAGGGAGTGCTCCTAATCTCATTTTATTACCTGTATAAAAGACACCTGTCCACAGAAGCAATCAATCAATCAGATTCCAAACTCTCCACCATGACCAAGACCAAAGAGCTCTCCAAGGATGTCAGGGACAAGATTGTAGACCTACACAAGGCTGGAATGGGCTACAAGACCATTGCCAAGCAGCTTGGTGAGAAGGTGACAACAGTTGGTGTGATTATTCGCAAATGGAAGAAACACAAAATAACTGTCAATCTCCCTCGGCCTGGGGCTCCACGCAAGATCTCACCTCTTGGAGTTGCAATGATCATGAGAACGGTGAGGAATCAGCCCAGAACTACACGGGAGGATCTTGTCAATGATCTCAAGGCAGCTGGGACCATAGTCACCAAGAAAACAATTAGTAACACACTACGCCGTGAAGGACTGAAATCCTGCAGCGCCCGCAAGGTCCCCCTGCTCAAGAAAGCACGTATACATGCCCGTCTGAAGTTTGCCAATGAACATCTGAATGATTCAGAGGAGAACTGGGTGA